TGCCAAGACTTCTTAGCTAAGAAGCCAAGCAGAGATCTTGTTCCTTAGCTGTGAAAATTCCTTTTCAACTGGAGTGTGTGTAATATAAATTGTAAATGTTTAAAACAAGAAACCAGGTTGTGTGATTACCAGTAAATATGCACAGTTGTATATTGAATTTAACTAATGGGATTGTTTTTGTTGTTTAGTCACTAATTCCTGTCTGACTCTTTTTGCAACTCTATGAACCGTAGCCCACCAGGCTCCTCTGTCCATGGAATTTCCCAAGCAATAATACTGGAATGGGTTGCCATTTCCTTCTCCAGGGAATCTTCCCGACCCAAGGATCGAACCCATGTCTCCTGCGTTGGCAGGTGAATTCTTCACAAACTGAGCAACCAGGGGAAACTACTAGGATTGAATGGTGTCAAATTCCTAAAATTGAACATTAGCAGAAAGATGATTTCTCACTAGGATACTTAATTTATTGTGGTCTCTTTCACTTGGATTCTGTTCGTTTTTTTTAACCTGAGGATCAAACCAAATAAACAGAAGTTTTGTTTTAAAATTAAAAATACTATGTATTTAACAGATGAGCTTCCCTGGTGAATCAGTAGTAAAGAATCTGCCTGCCAGTGCAGGAGACCCAATTCAACCCCTGGTTCAGGAAATGATCCCTGGAGAAGGAAATGTCTACCCACTCCAGTACTCTTGCCTGGGAAATGCCATGGACAGAGGAGCCTTGCAGGCTACAGCCCCTGGGGTCACAAAAAGTCAGATATGGCTCAGCGACTAAACAGCAACAAATAAATGGGTAGCTGATGTATAATACAGGGAACTCAGCTTAGTGCTCCATGATGACCTAAAGGGGTGGGACGGGGGTGGGGGGTAGTGGGGAGCAGTAGAAAGTAACACAGCATTATAAAGTGATTATTCTCCAATTTAAAAACATATAGAAATAAAATGCAAAAGATAAATAAAAGTAAAAGTGTGCATGGTTCTATGTGGAAACTCCAGGAATATACTATCAGATTTTTTTTTTCTTTTTAATTAAAAAGCTATTTCTTAGAGCAATTTTACATTCTCTGCCAAACTGAATGGCCACTACAGAGAGTTTCCACATAGCCCCTGTGGCATCATAGTTGGTTGGTTTTTTTTTTTTTTTTTTTTTTGGTATCATAGATTTTTAAGAATAATGTTTTTAGAATTAAAAAGAGAGAAAAGGTAAACCGTATTAAACTAAACCAGATTCTGAGAAAGGATTTGTTACGTTTTTACAAAACGTAAATGTTCTCTTTCATTCCTTATTAAAGAAATTTTAACAGATTTTTGTGGTTTAATTGCTTTAACATTTCCAATGTGTAACATTCTAGTATGTGCCATCAGTTTTGAAAGTAATATGAACAAGATTGTAAAATCCCGTCTTTGATGAATTTTATTTTAATGTTAGAGTACAGTGAGTTTTCTATTTTGCCATTAGTCCCGAGGGCCTATTAAATAACCAGTATTAATCCTTTAAAATAGCAGTCTCATTTGAGGGACATACATTTCTTGGCTGTGTGCAATATTAGAAACCTAAGGGCATCTTCACACAACAAACTGAAATGTCATTTTCCAAATAAAAAATACAAATCAAATATCCTTTTATTAAATTAATGTCATAAGTGTCCTTTTGATGAACACTAGATTTTACCGAGGTAAATATCTTCCGGTGACTTGGACTTTGCATTAAAATCTACTCCTTAGCAGACTGGCCTCAGGTCAAGTAATAAAGGACACTTTTTCGTTAGGCAGCTGTTATCCAGTTTATGCCACAAGAACTATTTCAGGACAAAGTTGCAAGTATCCAATATCTTTTCCTGATTATCTCATGAACTGATTTAGTAGCTTTGACCCAGGCATTGAATCTTCCCAGATAACTACTTGTAAAAAAATAGAAAAACATTGCTTAGTAATTCTGATGTTTGTAAATATGGCAGTGTGTGTGTGTTAGTTGCTCAGTTCAGTTCAGTTCAGTCACTCAGTCGTATCCGACTCTGCTTTCCCATGAACCACAGCACGCCAGGCCTCCCTGTCCGTCACCAACTCCTGGAGTCCACCCAAACCCATGTCCATTGAGTCGCTCAGTCATGTCCAGTTTTTTGCAACCCCATGGACTATAACCTGCAAGCCTCCTCTGTCCCTGGGATTTCCCAGGCAAGAATATGAGTTGGATAGCCATTCCCTTCTCCAGGGGATTTCCCCAACCCAGGGATTGAACCTGGTCTCTTGCATTGCAGGCAAATTCTTTATCATCTGAGCCGCCAGGGAAACCCAGATGTATATGAGTATGGCTTGACAGTGCAGAGCTAGTAAATCAGGCAGGCATCTTCAGGCCACTGTCAATTCTGGCCTCCAGTGGCCTTGAAAATGGGATGTCTCGGGTATAAAGTATTCTTGCTATGTTTGATTGCCTGCCCTGAGAAACCATGAAGAGTCCACTTGGAGAAAGATGTGTTTGTTTTTGATGAGGTTATTTTTGTTTTCCATTCGCCCAACTCATCTTTTTCTTCATTTGTTTTATTTGTTGTTTTATAGTATTCCATGTAAAAGCAAAAGAAAAGTGTGACATCGTTTGCATTATTATGTCATTTCTTTCCTTATAATTTACATCTTGATGTTTGTCTCTGGGGCTTGGTTATAGCCTTCTCAAGGTAGGTGGCATTATATGTGTTTCTGGGAAAGTGTTAGTCACTCACTTGTGTCCCACTCTAGGGATCCATCACACAGCTGTTGTGGAGCTGAATTTCAGTGATGCACATGGAAAGCTAGCCATTCCATGGACTCAAAGTTTCCTTCTTCACCAAGAACCAACCACATGAAGCCCTTGGGGGCACCATGTCTCATAATTCTTGCATTCTCTGTTACCCACATTGCAATGCTGTGGACACCATCAATTGTTTCAGAGATTTGAGGAATAATAAGGCTCTTTATCCTCTGTGATTTGCTTAGACTTTTACCTAAGTATTATTTATTAAAATAAATACTTAAATTTCATGAGGCATTGTGCATGTTTGAACTAGAGACAGACTAAAATGCATTTTTATAAAGAGAGTTTTAAGGAATCCTTTTGTTTAAAGGGTTTGAAAAGTTGCTTATTTCCCCCCCTTCTTAGAACCTTTATCTCTTTGTGTATCATTTGAGAAAATTTCATGTAACATAATAGGAAATTTAAAAAATGGTTCTTGTCTTTGCTGACGTGTGGACAACTTATATTCCTTGCTTGTTTGTCGCTGGTTTTAATCTCTTCTTGCATGTTGAGCTTGAAGGATCATGGTACCTCTCTCAGTGGTCTCCTTGCTTACTCATCATCTTGTGGCAGTAGTCCATCTTTCACTTGATTAAAGAGTTTATCATTTGGAAATCAAACGAGCACGACATTACTGTTTAAAATGTCCTGTGGCCTGTGTTGCATCCAAAATGATTTAAAACCTTAGACTCTAAAATTAGAGTCCACCATGTTTCTCCAGTCTTTTATTTCTGGACATTTATCTCTACCTACCTTTATGTTCCAGCTATAGTGGACTTCTGCCTCTTCTACAGATATGCTTTGTCCCTTTTTCTTCCTTTGCACAGAAGGTTTTCTTTTGCCATCTGTCCATTCAACTGTCCATCCATACATCCATCCGGTGTGGTCATGTTTGCTAGAACTAGACCATGGATTGGTAGTAGAATGTTAAACAAGATAGATACTGTCTTAACATCACGTTCATTCCTACATGGCCCATTCCTGTTCATCCATTTAAGGCTCATTTCTACTGTTATTTCTACTTGGAGATCATCCCCGTATCCCCAAGCAGATGTGTTCACTATGTTGATCCATCACTTTATCTCTGTTATAGCATTTAATTTCTTCATTCACCAAGACATTTATTGCCTACTGTGTACAGAATCTATACTGAAACTGGGGATACTGTAGTGAACAAAGCAAATAGAAATTAAGCCCACAGCTTACACAGTATGTTACAATTATCCAGCTTAAATATTTATGAGAATGTGAATTCTTATAGGACTTCAGGTAATATCTTTGTATCTGAAGTACCAGCAGTACTAGAAATAATTTGCATGATACACACAAAAAAAAACTATAGCAAAAGTCTAAGGAACAGTTTTTGTAATTTAATTGAATTAAACTCTATGAAACCTATCTGTATTTGGGCTTCCCAGATGGCATTAGTGGTAAAGAACCCACCTGCCAATGCAGAAGATGTAAGAGATTTGGATTCATTCCTGGGTAGGGAAGATCCCCTGGAGGAGCGCATGGCAGCCCACTCCAGCATTCTTGCCTGGAGAATTCCCTGGACAGAGGAGCCTGGTGGGCTACAGTCCACTGGGTCACAAATGTATTATGTATGCTGTTTGCTGTTTTAGTCACTAAGTCATGTCCAGCTCTTTGCGACCCCGTGAACTGGAGCCCACCAGGCTTCTCTGTCCATGGAATTTCCCAGGCAAGAACACTGGAGTGGGTTGCCATTTCCTTCTCCAGTATTATGCATATAAACATACAATACACATATGTGTATATATAGATTTTATTTAGAAAGTCGAAAAATGCTAATTTTTCTGTTAGTTTCAGATTAATATGTCCAAGAAAGAGGGGTGGACAGTTATTTATTTTGATTCTTCTCAAATGATCGCCTTGGCGAAGTCAGTCTGTAATTTTTTAACCCTAGTTGCAATTAAGTGGCAGGTTTTTGTATGATTAATTCACAGAGATTCACATTCAATAAATTAAAATTTCACTTTAAACACATAAAAAGTATTTAACCATCAAGGTGATGTGACAAGGAACTTGGCTGTTTATGGCAGCAGGACTCAAACTTCTAAAGATACTTCTCCTTCCTGGTTTGACTACTTCATCATTCTAAAAGCAGCATAACTTCTCTGAAGTTCTTTTAGCCTGTCTTTCCTTGATACCATCACCGGGATAAGATCCCTGGGATGCGGACGAAATGATGTGAAGCTGTTTTCTTTGTTTGCAGTTGGTGAGTTTGTGAGCGATGCCCTCCTCGTTCCCGACAAGTGCAAATTCTTACACCAGGAGAGAATGGATGTTTGTGAAACCCACCTTCACTGGCATACCGTGGCCAAAGAGGTACCAGCCCTTTCATCTTCCTCCTTGTTAAGTGACAGTCTCCTAGGCCTGATGCACAGTGACACTGTAGGGGGTGTTTGGAGGCAACAGCTGTCTGTTGATAAATGTGGCTTTTTAAAAAATTATTACATTAAAAATAGAAATCTTCATGAATATTTTAAAAGTCTATCTTGAAACAACAGCTGTGTTGATCGGTAAGTTATTATTATTATTTTGAAAAGCTATCCACGAGTATTTTATGTTTAGTTAGATTTGTTATGCCATGTCATATGTTATAAGTTAGAAACTATAAGCTCTAAAAACCTTAAAATATATCTTTAAAAAAATTTTTGTATTTATGTCTTGTTTTTGTTTGGCATGTGCCAAGTTTTTATAGTTTAACTTTTTTCTCTTGTTATTCATTGGGGAATACAGTGGTAGAGGAGAAATAGCTTGTCCAATACTGACATGAAAGGTGCAGTTAGATCTGAGTTTTACGACCAATTTTGTGTTCGTCGAGCCACACTGCCGCCATCATTTCTCCATAGTGAGTAAGTCTATGGCACCAGTTCTGACTTTTGCTAACCCCCTGCTTTTAGCAAAGCCATTAAGGCATAAAGCAGTTAGCATAAAATGTCACTTTTTGATATTATTGCCTTTAAAACTGCCTTGTCCCTTTATTATGAAGTTTTTCTGATAAATTTGTATAATTTTTTTTTCTTTGTAATGAAATCAGTCTCCCAGAATTAGGCTCCTTGGTTTAGCTCAGTGGTCCTTGTGTGAGGTCAGTTTCGCTCCGCATCCCTTCCCAAGGACGTGAGCCAGCGTCTGGAGATCGTATTGGATGTCACAGTTTTTTTTGTGACAAGGGGTGATACCACTGGCATTTGGTGGCCAGGGGCCAGAATGTTCTGCTAAGCATTCTTCAGTGAACAGGACAAGTGTCCCTTGCCCTCTAGAATGATCTGGCCCAAAATGTCAATGGTACTGAGGTTGAGAAACCCTGATCTAGCTCCATTTAGCCATTGCATCATAGCCTTAAAGCTGTTAGGCAAAAAACACCACATAAGATTCAGCATTAATTTTGCCTTTTACAAAGTAATATGTTGTGCAACATTGTCTTTATATAAAAATGTTTCAGAGATAATTGATATTAAGAAAACAACCTAGATGATTTAAAGCCCAGTACCCATCTGATTGGGCTTCCCAGGTGGCTGGCTTAGTGGTAAAGAATCAGTCTGCCAATGCAGGAGATGCGGGTTCGATCCCTGGGTCAGGAAGATCCCCTGGAAGTAGGAAATGGCAACCCTTTCCAGTATTCTTGCCTGGAAAATTCCATGGACAGAGGAGCCTGGCGGGCTACAGTCCATGGGGTCGTAAAGTATCAGATATAACTTAGCAGCTCAGCACATACACACACCCATCTGACTACCTCATTTTTCATGTCTTCTTGAGTTTAAAAAACGTTTTTTGCTACTGAGAAACAAAATAAGTCTTAATTCCTATGAGGTCAAAGTACACGCTATAAAATTTCATTGTTTACTTATATGTGTTGAATTATTAATCTTTCCTCTGTCACCACTGGGTGCTTTCAAAGCTTTATGTTAATTTTGGTTTGTGGGAATTGACTATGCCAAAGCCTTTGACTGTATAGATCACAATAAGCTGTGGAAAACTCTGAAAGAGATGGGCATACCAGACCACCTGACCTGCCTCTTGAGAAACCTGTATGCAGGTCAGGAAGCAACAGTTAGAACTGGACATGAACAACAGACTGGTTCCAAATAGGAAAAGGAGTACTTCAAGGCTGTATATTGTCACCCTGCTTATTTAACTTATATGCAGAGTACATCATGAGAAACTTTGGGCTGGAAGATGCACAAGCTGTAATCAAAATTGTTGGGAGAAATATCAATAACCTCAGATATGCAGATAATACCACCCTTATGGCAGAAAGTGAAGAACTAAAAAGCCTCCTGATGAAAGTAAAAGAGGAGAGTGAAAAAGTTGGCTTAAAGTTCAACATTCAGCAAACTAAGATCATGGCATCTAGTCCGATCACCTCATGGCAAATAGATGGGGGAACAGTGGAAACAGTATCAGACTTTATTTTTTGGGGCTCCAGAATCACTACAGATGGTGATTGCAGCCATGAAATTAAAAGATGCTTACTCCTTAGAAGGAATGTTATGACCAACCTAGATAGCATATTAAAAAGCAGACATTACTTTCCCAACCAAGGTCTGTCTAGTCAAGGCTATGGTTTTTCCAGTGGTCATGTATGAATGTGAGAGTTGGACTGTGAAGAAAGCTGAGTGCCGAAAAATTGATGCTTTTGTGCTGTGGTGTTGGAGAAGACTCTTGAGAGTCCCTTGGACTGCAAGGAGATCCACCCAGTCCATCCTAAGGGAGATCAGTCCTGGGTGTTCATTGGAAGGACTGATGCTGAAGCTGAAACTCCAATAGTTTGGCCACCTGATGCGAAGAGTTGACTCACTGGAAAAGACCCTGATGCTGGGAGGGATTGGGGGCAGGAGGAGAAGCGAACGACAGAGGATGAGATGGCTGGATGGCATCACCGACTCTATGGACATGAGTTTGAGTAAACTCCTGGAGTTGGTGATGGACAGGGAGGCCTGGCATGCTGCGATTCATGGTGTCACAAAGAGTCGGACACGACTGAGCGACTGAACTGAACTGAACAAATCCCAGAAAAGCAACAGGATTTGAAGGAGAAATCTTTAATGACTTTAAGTTCTGATTCATAGCAGAGGATAATTTCTTCTTTTCCCAAGACTGTTACTTTGGAAGTGAGCCAAGAGAGTTGCAGTTTCTAGAATAACATAGATCCAAGTGAGAGTACCTTCCATCCATAAAGGAAGTGGAAGTGAGTTGGGGGGATATATATGTAGAATCATCACTACTTCCTGATATGCTAACGAGGCTGGAAAGAATTGATTCTCTGATAACTGTTCACTGTGGAGGCTTCTTCTACATCTTAGCTCCCAATTTGTTTCTACTCCTATTGTTTTTATTCATTTCTATAGTATAACAACATGTTATTGTTTATTCTCTTAAGTCATTTGCCACCCTATGGACTGTACTCCACCAGGCTCCTCTGTTCATAGCATTCTCCAAGGCAAGAAAACTGAAGTGGGTAACCTTTTCCTTCTCCAGAGGATCTTCCTGACCCAGGGTTTGAACCCATGTCTCCTGCATTGCAGACAGATTCTATGCTGTTGAGCCACCAGGAAGCCCCATAACAACCTATGTCTATTAAATAAGTATCAAAAGTTAAAAATTTAAGAGTACCAAAGTCACTTGTGCTAAAGAAACTACTGCAAATCCACTCAAAAAGCAAATGATTCTTTCCACTGTAAAATTGGTCTCAATATGCTGGTCTTGCTATAATTGGATTTTCTTAAAATGAAGCACATTTACTCCAGCACTTGCTGTTTTCTCCTTACTTTTTGTAGACCTGTAGTGAGAAGAGTACCAACTTGCATGACTATGGCATGTTGCTGCCCTGTGGAATTGACAAGTTCAGAGGGGTGGAATTCGTATGTTGCCCACTGGCCGAGGAAAGTGACAATGTTGACTCAGCAGATGCAGAGGAGGATGACTCAGACGTCTGGTGGGGTGGAGCAGACACAGACTATGCAGATGGGAGGTAAGGTGGCCTTCATGTTTTGTCTCTCTTAGGTGCCAGAACATCTAACATGTAGTTTTGTTTCTGCTATAAATGTATGTCTTTCTATTTCTTATTTATATGATCTCTCCCACTCCCATTGAAGTTTGCTTTTATGGAATAAAACCTAACCATGAAGTTCTGCTCAGGTTATAGCCTACCGTTTAATTTTAGTATATTTAATCAGCCATCACTGAATCACTTGTAACTATTTTATTTTACCCTTACAAGTTGGGATGAAAATTCCACTGGTATTATAATAGGTCACTGGTAGTTCTACAGAGACTTGAGATCTGGGTGAATGACATGGCCATCTGTTTTGGTCTGTAGTTTAGAAATTTGGGGAGGGGATTTGGGGATTATTTCATCAGTCATTGGCTAAATCTGAATTTTTGTTAAGAAGGATTTCGTATCTGTTTGCGTGGGTTTTTGTTTTTGTGGGTTTTTTGCCTTTGTCATCTTATCCTTTATAAATGAGGTCGGAGGCAATCATAAATGTTTGCTAAAGTTCTTTAACTGACTTTGGTTTCTGTGATTATTAATAAATATATTTTCACCTCATTTTCTTTGGAATCTAAATCCCGTAATTTGTAGATTCTTATTTTTAATTGAAGGCATCATTTGTATTCAGATCATAAAATTATAAAATCTGAATCTTTGGGTTAGAAAGGCCATCTGGTTTAGTCACATCCCCAAAAGTGATAATGATGTAACACTTCACTTTTTCCTTCAGTATTTTCTCAGATGTTCCCAAATGTTACAAATTTCCAAGTAGAATATTAAATATGACTTGTATGGCTTATAGTAATTAATGTAAAGTTTTCTGACTTTTATGTAATTAAGCACAGGTGTTTTAATAATATATTTTAGAACTTTTTTAGTTTTTTTTTAATTGGAGGATAATTGCTTTACAGAATTTTGTTTTAAAATAGTTTTACAAAAATACAAATCTGTTTTACATATATATTAGAATCTATGTACACTGAGGATCCCTAATTGTCATTTTTATCAGTTAATAGTGCAGGCTTCTCTCTAGTGTCTTACCCATTGTTACCATAACTCTCTTCTTGTTAGTTAAGCTTTCTTGTGTTGCCTCTTTTACATGATTTAGAAAAATTGAGTTCAGTGTAGCAGAACAAGCAAATTCTAAACCACAGGAGAAAGAAAGAAAGGAAAAGTGAGCTGTATGCTTACAATATTTCTTTATGTTTCTAAGAGATGTAAGTTAAATAGTATGAACTCCTTCCCCAGGGCAGGAAACATCAGTGAGAACAGGGTGGGAAAGCTTCTGAGCATTGCATTCTAGCCCATGGTTGGCTCTCTCCCCTGTGTTCCATGTGCCAGGTATAGAAATGTCCATTGGTTTGGATTTCATTGCTACTTTGTCTAAGAGTTGGAGTTGCTTAGTTTTTATTGATGGCTTTTTCATATTCTTCCTCAGTCACATGTGGATTTGAAGGCTTAAGGGTGAATTCGTGAAAAAGTTGTCCTGAGGGTTCTTACCACCCGATGCCAGTGCAGTCAGTATTAAAAAGGGAAATTTGGAGTTGTTCAGCCATTTTCTTGTCTCCTGGTTTGTTGGATGCATGACCACTTCTCATCACTGAATTGACTCTGTACTTAGTAAACAACCCAGATGATGGTGAATAAACCAAGACAGATCCATGGCTGCTCTTAAAATCATATGGAGCCAGCTGTGTACTTGTAACCCTGTATCAAGGCTGTTGACCCACCATTCATGATCATTCATACACGAGGGGCATTTTGTAATTAAATGTGGGCATTTGTGCTTTTCCTGAGAGTGACAGACCTTTGCCAGACTCTCTTCTGTATTTAACCCTTTTTTTTACATCTTATAAAACCTACTGTTTACTGGGAATAGATTTTCATGTGTCTTGATCTTTTCCTCCTACCCTCCTTCTGACGTACTGAACTAATTGAAAGCGTTACTAACATCGTATCTTATGAAACCCTCTTCAGTGGCCCGTTCTTTTCCTACATCCCATCTCACTGGTCCTGGAAAGAGATCCACAGGGCTTCCCTTTCTGGCCTCGAATCGCTCATTTATTTATTATGAGTCTCTCATTATTTATTATTTACCCATGTCAAGGTAGGTACCGATACCTACTTTGATACCCATCCCTCTGTTCTGTGTCTTTTTGTTAGTCACCAAACTATAGAACACCAGTATACTGTTTTTTAACACTGCTGTTTTTTTTCTTTTAATTTATTACATTATCTATTACTGGAGCAACTAGAGTGTATTAAACTAGATTCGACACTAGGACCACAGTCTTAACTGAAGGACTTAGACAAAAGTAGGTCATATGGTCATCTTACCTATTCCTGTGTTCAGTAATATCACCATCCAGGTTGACATTCAGTTGAAATGTTAGCTGGATCTTTCCTTATCACCTACATTTATGTGCCGTTCTGCTGTCTGCAACAATTATACCTTGAACCCTGTCATCACTATGAAATGATGCACCCACAGGGTCTCCAGCTTTGACATTACTCTCTAAATACGATCTTCTGATCTTAGACCTAAAATACTAATCTGGTCCTAGGGATTTCACCCTTACTTTATAACAATCACCTGCCTAATTCAGGCATTTAGTTCATTTTCTTCTTCTTCTTCTTTTTTTTGGTTCTTTCTGGCCAGGATGGACCCAGGGGGTAAGGATTTTTACATATTCCTTTGAATATCCTGGATTTACTGATACCCTTAACATTTTGTAAAGATATTTTCATCAGTTCTCCCTATGTGGGGAAAAGTAACTTCCCCCTTTAACTGCTTCTGAGCTTTCTAAGGTTGATGTTTAATCCCACCAGTTAATTCCATTTCTTATTCATGCTGTAACATCAGCTGGGATATTAATGTTACTGGATATACCTAATCATCACTATTTGATGACCTAACATCATTAAGAAGGCTACAAATAATAAATGCTCGAGAAGGCATGATAAAAAGCAAATCCTCCTTTTGTTGGTGGGAATGTAAATTGGTGCAGCCACTATGGAAAACAGTATGGAAGTTCCTTTAAAAACTGAAAATAGAAACCATGCCCACATGGTAACACACACTAGAGATTGACCTTGTGAAAGTAAGGAGTGTGAGAAAGTATTCGTTAATCCCTTTAAGTTAATCCCTTAAAGGTCATGAAAGGAGATGTACTGGAAAGAAACCCTGTGAATGTAACAATGTGGTTGGTGATTTGTTTCTCAAAAAGTTTTACAAAATCATGAAAGAAATCTCACTGGACTCTGTACTTGGTATTGACCTATGTGGGATAAGAATCTGAAAAGGAGTGAATACATGTCCATGTATGACTGACTGGCGCTTCCCAGGTGGCCCTAGTGGTGAAGAACCCACCGTCCAGTGCAGGAGACTTAAGAGACCTGGGTTCAGTCACTGGGTCAGGAAGATCCCCTGGAGAAGGGCATGGCAACCCACCCCAGTATTCTTGCCTGGACAATCCCATGGACAGAGGAGGCTGGCAAGCGTGGTCCGTAGGGTTGCACAAGAGTTGGACACGACTGGTGACTTAGCATGCACCATATGACCCAGCAATCCTATTCCTAGGCACATATCTAGAGAAAGCTCTAATTCAGAAAGATGCATGAACTCCAGCGGTGCTCACTGCAGCACTATTTACAATAGCCAAGACATGGAAGCTGCCTAAGTGTCTATCGGCAGATGAACAGATAAAGAACATAGTGTGTGTGTATGTGTGTATACACAGATATGTGCTGTGCTGCGTCACTAGGTCATGTCTGACTCTTTGTGCCCAAAGAACACCAAGCTTCTCTGTCTATGGGATTCTCCAAGCAAAAATACTGGAGTGTTGTTGCCATGCCCTCCTCCACACACACACACACACACACACACACACAATGGAATATTGTGTGCTTAGTCACTCAGTCACGTCCTACTCTTTGCAACCTCATAGACTAACCTACTAGGCTCCTCTGTCCATGGGATTCTCCAGGCAAGAAGACTGGAGTGGGTTGCCATCCCACCTCCAGGGGATCTTTCCAACCCAGGGACTGAACTCAGGTCTCCTGCATTGCAGGTGGACTTTACTATCTGAGCCACCAGGAAAGCCCCCAATAGAATATTACCCATTTATTAAAAAAGAATGAAATAGTGCCATTTGTAGCAGCATAGATGGACCCAGAGATTATCATAATAGGTGAAGTTAAAGACAGATATGGTATCACTCATGTGAAATCTAAAATATGTTACAAATAAACTTATTTGCAAAACAAAAACATACATAGAAAACAAACCAATGACTGCCAAAGCTAAAGAAGGGAGAGAGGGATAAATTAGGAATTTGGGATTAGCAGATATAAACAACTGCATGTAAAATAGATAAACAACAAGGTCCTACTGTATAGCACAGGGAACAAATGATATTGAATATCTTATACTAGCCTATAATGAAAAAGAATACAAAAAATAATATATATATATTTATAATTGCATTACTTTGCTGTACACTAGAAACTAATGCAACATTGTAAATCAACTCTATTTCACTTTTCAAACTAAAATTTTCTTAAAAAGGAAAAAAAAAGATAAATTGGAACTGGGGGGAAAAAAGTATTGGTTAGAACTTAATAGAATTAAGATATCAAGTCACTTGTATCCCATCATTTTTGAACATGTTTTTCTGTGATCCCTGCAGGCACATATGCCTTCATTCTCTTCTGGCAAAGCTAGTGGGCAACACGAGAGAGACATTACATCACTGACCCCCACACAAGCTGAGGGGTTCCAGAACAAGCCTGCCTGTGACACGTCAAATGCAGGATCACAATAAGAATTTCACACATCCTGCTTGACAAGTCCTTAGGAGACACCATATGACTTGAAAAGGGAAAAAGAAAAAGGAACTCTGCTCCTCCAGAGTAAAATTTGATCCACAGCTTAATGCACTTTGTTGACTGGTAGGTAGTGAGATTTGTTTTGGAAGATG